AAGCCTTCATCTTAAGTGAGAATAACAGCACAACTGGAAGAGCGTAGTCAATGTCACTGAACTGTGCATGTAGAAATTTTTGAAACAGTGTATCTCTGGCTATGTGTATTTTCACCAAAAAAAAAAAAGGTTGAGAAGTCAGAGGTTTAATATGTAGTGGGGTTGTTAACCAATGTCATAAAACAACATGTGTACTTCTGTTTCATGAGAAACTATTTGTTCTATAAGCCTTCACATGAAGTACAATAAAATATATTTAAAAAAAAAAAAAAGGAGAGGTGATGTCTGGATGTTCATTTCATATCTGTAACTATGAATTTTAAGAAGTATAGTATTTAAAAGATGAAACTCAAGAGCATGAGTTTTGTTTTTAAATATTAAAACCAATTATATTTTCAAGCTGATTTCCCTAAACTATCTTGGCTAATGACTCATAAGAATCATTCCCATGATTTAAACACTTTTATAATAACTATAAATTCTCAAGTTACCTAGGTGTTACGTCAACATTAATTAAAAACCATTCACAAATAAAAGATGCAGAAAACAACCATACCTGAATTTTTGGATGAATTGACAGGACAGAAACCACAATGCAAAGGATCAGATTAATACTGATGAAGAACTTGTTTTCAGTGCAGCCATCTGGTTTAGTGAAGAATATGTAGAACAGTACGACAAAGATGATTGACAGGATATAAGAGAGGCTTGTGAAGAACAATAAAGCTAAAAAAAAAAAAGAAAGGGGGGAACCAACATGAATGCCCACAATTGTAACAGAAATAAATTCTTACAGTGGAGACCAATCTTCTTTTACTTTACATAAAAATGAAAAGGTACTGACTATAAAAGAAAAAATAATACACGTGAGGAGTGTGCTTCTTAGTTCAATCAGATACATAAGACCAAATGGGCAGCTCCTGTCCAGAGTCAGGATGAGAAAGCAGGAAGGGACAGGAACTGGCTGAATGGACACAGGGAACCCAGGGTGGAAAGGGAGAGTGTGCTGTCACATTGCGGGGATTCCAACTAATGTCACAAAACAATATGTACATAAATTTTCATATGAGAAATTAACTTCTGCTGTAATCTTTCATCTAAAGCACAATAAAAAGAGAGAGACAGAAAAAAAAATGAAGAGGTATTATTTCACTTTTGTGGTGGTCAATAATTTACAGTGAAATTACAGGAGTCCCTAGGTTGAAATTTCAGATTGTGTTAAGAGTTGGCTCAACGTTAAATTCCAAAATTCACCAAGCAACTGAATTCACATCCTGGATTACCTAATGTGGTTTAATGGGCTGGGCAGACAGACATTTGATCATTCCAGCTAGGGTAAACTGCTAACTACATGCTGAATAACATACATTATAAGCTTTTCTTAGGAACCTAGAGGGTTCCTGGGTCTTCAAAATGGGCCAGTTCATAGCAAATTCTGCAGCCACTTTCCCATCGTAAAGGATTCCATATCCCTGAGCTAGGAAAATGGCTCATTTGCAATTTTCAAATATCAAAGCTAAAGTTCCTTTCCATTCACATGGATAATCAACAATTAGCTGTGTAACTTTCTCTGAAAATGCAGAAAACATGAAGCATAGCATACAGTATAGTTAGACCAGCTGCAGCAATGTTGAGCTCAGTTAATTTGTATTCGATTCAAAGCAGAAACTTATTTGGAAAAAAAACTAGTTTCTACTTATGTCAATGGATTTTGGATGCATATTACTAACACAATACTTAATTTTTTCCATCTGAACATACAGGATTTCTCTACTTGCAGTTACTCCACAGCATGGCCAATCTACAACTCATTATTATTAAATTCTTCTAGACTTGAGTGGTCCAAAATGTATTACAGAAAACAGAAGTAAACGAATAGGTAAAAAAATAAACTTTTATTAGTCAGGAAGAAGTAAAGGAGGATTTTCGGAATCTCCAACCCGTAATGATAAAGACTATTCAATAATCCTTTGCCTAAAAAAATAGTCATTACAAACAATTTAAGCGACCAAAAATAGTGCAATGATTAACTAAATTATGGTACATCTAGTCTATGGAATACCTGATAAATGAATGACTTACTCACTGGCGTAGAATATTCATCATAAACTAAGTGAAAAGAGTAAATTGTGGAACAGTATATAGTATGATCCTACTTACATTTAAATATAAAAATGACAAACATCTGTGCAAAAATACAGATTAAAGGTTGGATAATAGCGGTTACACCTGGAGAAGACCTGCAGGGGACTGAAGAGACATTTGCATGTTTTACTGTTTACAAAGTTCTATCTTTTGTGTTTATGGTGAACATGGTATTGTCTGTGTTTTTAATAATTTAAAAATAAGCAAGCTAAATAAATGACCATTAAAACCAGACAATTTGACAGTTAAGTTCTAAAAGCCTTTAAAATATTCATACCCCTTGACCTTCTATTTCTGGGATAATGCTAATAATCAAAGATGTGCTCAAAAATGGTTATTATCAGGCATTCACTGCTATTTGTTGTTGTTAGGTGCCGCTGAGTTGGTTCTGACTCATAGCAACCCTGTGTACAACAGAATGAAACACTGACCTGACTGGTCCTGCATCATCCTCATGATCATTGTTATGCTTGAGCCCACTGTTGCAGCCACTGTGTCAATCCATCTTAAGGGTCTTCCTCTTTTTCGCTGACCCTCTACTTTACCAAGCATGATGTCCTTGTCCAGGGACTGATCCCTCCTGATAACATGTCCAAAGTATGTGAGACGAAGTCTCACCATCCTCGATTCTAAGGAGCATTCTGGCTGTCCTTCTTCTAAGACAGATGTTTGTTCTTTTGGCAGTCCATGGTATATTCAATATTCTTCGCCAACACCATAATTCAAAGGCATCCATTCTTCTTCCATCTTCCTTATTCATTGCCCAGCTTTCACATGCATATGAGGCGACTGAAAATACCATGGCCTGGATCAGAAGTACCTTAGTCTTTAAAGTGACATCTTTGCTTTTTAACACCTTAAAGAGGTCTTTTGCAGCAGATTTGCCCAATGCAATGCATCATTTGATCTCCTGACTGCTGCTTCCACGGGCGTTGATTGTGGATCCAAGTAAAATGAAATCCTTGACAACTTCAATCTTTTCTCCATTTATCATGATGTTGCTTGTCGGTCCAGTTGTGAGGATTTTTGTTTTCTTTATGTTGGGTGTAACCCATACCGAAGGCTGTGGTCTTTGATCTTTATCAGTAAGTGCTTCAAGTCCTCTTTGCTTTCAGTAAGCAAGGTTGTATCATCTGCATATCACAGGTTGTGAATGAGTCTTCCTCCAATCCTGATGCCTCCTTCATCTTCACATAGTCCAGCTTCTCAGATTATTTGCTCAGCACACAGACTCAATAAGTATGGTGAAAGGATACAACCCTGGTGTATACCTTTTCTGACTTTAAACCATGCAGTATCCCCTTGTTCTGTTTGAATGACTGCCTCTTGGTCTATGTACAGGTTCCTCAAGAGCACAATTAAGTGTTCTGGAATTACCATCCTCCGCAATGTCATCCATAATTTGTTATGATCCACACAGTTGAATGCCTCTGCACAGTCAATAAAACACAAGTAAACATCTTTCTGGTATTCTCTGCTTTCAGCCAGGATCCATCTGACACCGGCAATGATATCCCTCGTTCCATGTCTTCTTCTGAATCTGGCTTGAATTTCTGGCAGTTCCGTGTTCATGTACTGCTGCAACCGCTTTTGAATTATCTTCAGCAAAATTTTACTTGCGTGTGATATTAATGATATTGTTTGATAATTTCCACCTTCAGAAATTATCTACTTGTAAGTTTAAAAAAAAAAAAGCCAAACTACAAACAATTTGAATGTATAATACATTTAAAGGATAAATAAAATACAAACATATTACAGTATTAGTCAATGACTTGTTTTATCTTTTCTATACACAGAAGATACATATGCACACAGAAAAAAAGACTGGAAGGCTATAGACTAATATGTTAACAGTGAATGACTGCTAGATGGATTATGGGGGGTTTGCTTTCTTTTGTAATTTTCTGTTTTCCAAACTCCTGACATACAGTATCTATGGGGGGATGGGGGGAAATCTCAGCAACTATTATTTTAAAAAATGAGGAATGGCTGGGTCATTGCCTCTGATAAACAGAGGATTCCAAAGTCCCTCCCCATCATTAAGAGGCTATAAGTCCTACTCCCAACCTAGAAATCTTAACTGCCCTTTACCAACCAGAAAGCTTTTATGAGAAGGGGGGGGTGTCACACTCTCAAAAAAGCAGGAAGGGCTGTTCACCCCTCTCTGCCTGAGGTATGTCGGCAGATATCCCACATGTAGAACCCATCTAAGTCCCCTATTGACAAAGTATTCAAAACCAGGTCTATGCCAGTGAATAAAAGAAAACCTGTTTTCTTTATCTAAATACATCTAACTACATCACAAATCCCAAAATAAATGAATGCGGAGAATCCAGTGATTTATATTATCTGTGCTACTCCCTTTTAGTAATGCATATAACTCAGAATTGACTCATTTTTTTTTTTAAAAAAGATGGCTCTACAATAGGAGCTTATATATTAAATAAACAGGATTTTACTGTACACTATTTAATGTAGCAAAATGCAGCATGGCTCTCATAGATGAGTTTAGATACCTACCAGCATACCAGCACCTTGGGTTTCCTTCTTCCATTTTATTTACCCATGACTCATTCCACGAGTGAGCAAAGTCGACCAACAGCACCAGCTGGATGAGGATGAAGAAGAAGGCCCCTCCCATGCCAATAGCAAACCAGGCTACAAGCCAAAAGAAAAAGTTACTCTTTACCATAGGAGTGACATTTCAGAATGTTACTGTCCAATATTCTGAACAGATTTCAACTCATGTGAGAGGTGGTAAGGACTTATTCTGTCTCTAGCAGTAATGTAAGATCATTCCAACTCCAAACTCAAAGGCATTCTCTGAGAAGTGTTCTGTTGGATTTCAGACCTTTTAAAACCTGTTCTAGCTTGTGCCAAGGGGAGCCTAGAATTTGACATGCAAAGTGATATTATAAGCCTTTTCCTTTACTTTAGAGAGGGAAAATCAGAGCGGAAATCCACAGACGGCACTTGATGGCATATTAAATAAAGCAGGTTAAGATAAGAGCAGTAGCATACAAGAGTTACAAGTCCTTATGTTGACAAGCTCTCCACGTAACCTAGTATTGCAAGTGAGAAGGCAAACTTTTAAAATACTGGCAACAGATTACCATATGGTTTCAGAAAAGCTGAGCAGTAGGTAGAATGGATGCCTCTTGGCTTTACCCAATCACTTAACATTAGCAACCAAGTCACAGAACTGGGCAGCACCTCATTTACACAATACCCACTTCTGCAATATCAGTAAGGAAAGTATAGCTTTAATTCAATCACTTGTAGAGTTTGTATATCTTATAATTAATTCTCTCAATAGTAAACCATACCTGTGGTGAAATGACCCCCAGGAATGTAGAACGATCCAACCATGATACCAACAACGGCAGCAATTTTGAAGAACCAAAACCTATTAAAATAAAAAAATGCATTTCTGAAGGCTAATTTTTGCCCTTACACTGAGAAAAATGAACTTCTGAAATACAAAAATAAAAGCCTTAGTAGCATTACCAACATGATTAGGTTTATTTCTTCATTTAACAGGAGGCTTTTTCACTCAGTATTTCATACAATTTAAGTATGAACATTAGCACAGAGAATAAATCATCCACTTTCATAGTGAGAGCAAAACGTGTAGCTTTGTGGCATCACCCCACTTTTACAGGTTAAAGTTAAGATTTTTTTCTAGAATTCTGGGGAGTTCTAAACTTCTAAACTAACAGAGGTAGCTAAATATTGAGCCATTAACTATTAGATTTTGTGGGAAAAGTTATCACCTAATCCTTCTTTTACGAGGTAGGACATGAGAGCTCAGAGAGATGAAGTGTCTTGCTCACGACATACAACTCATCACTGGCAAAGCCAGAATCAAACCTGACTTTCAGTCCATCATCTTTAATGACTGCCTTGTATGCCAGAGTGGAAAGAACCAGGCTTTGGACAGACCTAAGTTTCAATTCTAGCTCCAGCCCTCATTAGCTGAGAGATATCAGGCAATTTATTTAACCTCTCTGAAATTCAGTCACTGAGTCTGTAAAAAGATTATAATCCATGTAGTTTACAAAACTCCCTACAGTGTTCTAATGACAATTAGAAATAGATGTAAAAGGCGAAGTGGGGGTCAGGAGTGAGAAGCAATGGAATATGTCAATCAGTGGCTGAAATATATTCACTGTTTATTATCTTTTTGCATACTTTTAAATATATCAGGTAAATGTTTATCTTAAAACAACAGAATACATACTCCACAGACATACATATATGTGTATGTATATATGTATACGCATACATATACACATGTATCTACATACATACACACAGAAAGTACCTAGCACAGCACCTGAACTGTATGACAGGTGTTCAGTAAAAATTTAGGAACATGAAAAACAATGGTACTCAGAAAAATGACAAGAAATCCTCCCATGCCTCTCCTGCCCAGCGTTACAGTTCTAACTGAAAATGGCATTGAAACAATTTCACATGTATAATAGGTCAGAAATACATCTGGGCCACTGATTTACCTACTCTACTGCTTCCAATGGAAGCGCAACATTAACTGCTAAAGAGAAGCCACGCCATAACAACAAGCTAGTAGAAATCTTACATACCCATTGTGTACTGCTGCTCTGGGATCTTTACTCGTTTTTACTTTTAACATGAGCAGAAAGAGGACAAAGAAAAAGATGGCCAAGGCAAAGTGAATCCGATACACAGCTTTATAACCGACCAGCACATTACAATCTTTGTCCTCCTTAATATCAGCCATCTTGATTTTAAGTCCCTCTTCACAGAATCCAGGAATCTAAAAAAACAATTTCAATGCTATGAGATTATCCACATTTAAACACAGATTCTATTCCATTATAGGAAAACCTGGATTTATAAAATTGTTCCCTTCAGCAACTGCTTGGTTATGAGTCTCTAGCTACAACTGACTCCTTCTAAAGGTTAGTCTAGCTTTGATGTCTAAATTTTAAACATACAAGAAAGAGAATGTTTGGGGGGGGCCATTCTCTTAATATCTGTTTTCAGTTAGTTGCTAGGTTAGAGCTTGAAAATGTTCATTCAGACTACCTTCACTTCTGGAAAAGGACTAATACCTTTATATTCTGCATTCTGACTACATCCAAAAGCAATGCAAAAATCCAACAATTACACTGAACTTGACTGATTCTCCTAATGCTGAAGAAGTCAACAAGAACACCAATTATAAATACAATTTTTGCAAAATATAAAAATAACCAGTAAATTAAGGGTACCGTTACTTCTACTTACCTTCTTCAGGTGAGTTTCCATCTCTTCTCTCAGCATGATACAGGATACGGCAGTGCCAAGCAGGAGAATGAAGGCGTAGATGAGGCGGGTCACAGTGGAATTCTTAGTGTTGGGACAGCAACTACATAGCAAACATGATGCACCACCGCAGAGGCACGGAACCTGCAATGAGGACACCATGGACATTTGAGACCTCCTTCATGACACCGACGTGGCAGAATAGAAGTTTAAATATAAAACCAGGTTAAAACTAGGCTTTGACAAGTTTTAACTGAGAGAATATAATTGTGGGGTGGGGGACAAAGGTAGTAGAGGTGATTAAAAGTGTGGGCTCTGGAGCCAGATCTGGATTCAATATTATTTCTGCCACTTTACCTCAGCAAATTATATAATCTAAACCTGTTTCTCCATCTGTAAAATAGACTCAATAATAGAATCTTCCTCACTCGGATGCTGCTGTATTAAATGAGCACTCAACACAATGCCTAAAATACAGTAAGAGCTCAATAAATTTTGGTTATATTCACGCAAAGAGCATTCTTGTTTTAAAACAAGATGTTTAAATGTTGAGAAAAATGCAAGCTTAACTCAACTTGCTGTTTGAGGATACTAATTTACCAAAGCTTATATCATAGCATAAAGCAGCGTTACATGGAAACCCTCTTATAAATGATAGCAAGAGCCAACAGCTCCATTCAAGAGCAACCTGGATCTCTGGTCAACTAAAATCTGTTATTGAGCACTCCAGATTAGGGATGATTTAACTTGAGTCATTCTTACATATGCTTAAGAAATTGCTTGAGCTGCTTTGACAGGTGAAATCCTCAAGTCATATCGTGAAGATAAGCTAATTCACAACTATCAGCAGAAGAAGGAGATATAAACAATGGGGAGCCCCAGTCTTACAATCTAGTTCTCAGCAACAATCCTTACTTTTTAAATAGGTGGTACCATCTGTAGGTTTTACCATGGTTTTGTGTGGTTTGGGACAAGCTACTAAACTTCTTAAAGGTTAAGTTTTCTCATCTGTAAAGATGGGCATAATACCACCTATCCTAACAAGGTTAGCATGTGAAGAATGACATGGTGTCAGAAATGTAAACAACCCAGAACAATGCCTAACATATAGCAGGGGCTTAATATATGGTGGTAGCCATAATTAACTGTAATCATGACAGCAATGAGAAAGTGATCAGCTTCAGTCTTCCGATTCTTAACTACAATCTGGGCCAAAAGCACAATGTATGATAGGTAAGTGTCACAGAGACAAAAAGTAGATTAGGTTACTAGGGGTTGGAAGAATGGAAATGAGGAGTTAATGTTTAATGGGTAGTTTCTGTGTGGGATGATGAAAATTTTTGGAAAGTAAAACAGCATTGATGATTTTATAACACTGGGAACATAATTAATGCCACTACATTGTACACTTAAAAATGGTTAAAATGGCAAATTTTATGTTATATATATATTTTACCACAGACACAGACACACACACAAAAGAAATTATAACAGAAGTCTGTACCTGGCCACAGACAGAAATCTAAACATTTTACAGCTAAAAACAGTGACACTAATTGTTTTAGGTTCATTTGGTCTGCATTCTCACACTCCTGTTTTCTTTTAGCTTTTGTTTTTAAACTGTACAAGTCACATAATCTTAATATAATTGCTTACTTGTTTCTAAACTTCATGAGACTATAAATACCTTGAGGCGGAGACCACACCCAGTGTTACAACCTCTTGCACTTTCACACAATAGGTACTCAGGAAATCATCTGTGGGGTATTCTATATGTTATGTCACTTCCCTATCTCAGTAACTGGCGATTCTATTCTTCCTGCTGCTGAGGCCAAAAGCTTGGAGTCATCTTGATGCCTTCCTTTTTTCTAAACCCCTCATCTAAGCAGTCAGCAAATCAGCTCTACCCTCAAAATATATCCAGAATCGGATCACTTTATGAGAATCCTTGGTCCAAGCCACTATATTATCTCTCACCTGGACTAAATGCAATAGCTCTCATCTCTCTGCTTCACCCTTACTTTTCTACCATCTATTCTCCATACAGCAACCAGAACTCATCTTGTTAAAACACAGGTTAGATCACATCATTCCTCTTTTCAAACTCTGCAATGGATTCCTGTATCACTTGAATAAAAGCCAAAGTCCTTAAACTGGTCTACCAGGCCCTAAAAAATAGGGATCTACATAATTTGGCTCACTGCTACCTTTTGGACTCATTTCCTATTTTTCTCCTCACTTACTCCGTTCTGGTACACTGAACTCCTTGCTGTTCCTACTGAACAAAACAGGTACATTCCCATCTCAGGGCTGCTGTTCTCTCTGCCTAGAACACTGTTCCCTGAGGTGTCAGCACGGCTCACTCTATCACCGCCCTTCGGTCTTTACTCAATTTTTTTTTTTTTTTGAGTTGACTTTAATATCTTGCAAATGTGAATTTTACAAAGTGCTTTACAATGAATGATCACATTCTTTTTTGTGAATGATGGAGTTCCACCTTAGAACTGGCTTGTTTCAGTTACTGATACAATGTCAGCCATAGCTAAAACAGTAAGTCTTCAATAGCACAGGGCAGAAGCGGAGGACACAGGAAAAACAAAATGAAGGGTCCTCCTAAAAAAGGGAGGAAGCATCTTCTGTGCCTGAAACCTAGCTCAGTGGTAACTGAAACCTTCTTACAGCACCCCAAAAACTCATCCCCTTTTATAAAGTCTCTTTTTTTCCCAAATGTTCTGTCTGAAAGATAAATGTTCTATTTGTATCAAAAAACCAAACTAAACCCGTTGCCGGCAAGTCGATTCCAACTCATAGCAAACCTACAGGACAGAGTAGAACTGCCCCACAGGTTTCTAAGGAGCGGCTGGTGGACTTGAACTGCGAACCTTTTGGTTAGCAGCCAAGCACCTAACCACTGCGCCACAAATGTTCATCAAAAATATTTATACCTTTAAACTTAGTTCTTTTTTTGTCTCCTAAAAATAGTAGTGCAAGTTTTGGCTTCTTTTGACATAGAAATCACCGTCATGTGCAAAATGCTAACAGTGGTTTCTCCTTGGTGAGACTTTCGTTGGTCATCCTATCCAAATTTCAATCTCTCCACACACTAACATAGCCTAATCCCATTTCCTGCTCTATATTTCACCTTAGCACCTATTTCTAACATACTTCATATTTCTTATTTACTGTCTGCCTCATCCAACTAAAATGTAAGCTCTATGATGAAGGGACTTTTGTCTGGTTCACTGCCTAGAACAGCAGTACCTAGCCCCTAATAGGCACTCAATATTTACTGAACAAACGAGGAGTATAATAAAATTGTCTACTAAAAACAGAGAGTTTATGTGGTCCTTCAAACTGTTTGGCTTGATCGCTGCATTCAGTTTTTATGTGTATGTAAGTGGAAAAATCCCAAGTTTAATCATTCCTTCAAACAACAACTGAGTGAGAACGTACTACGAGAAGGGCACTGCTAACACAATAAAGAAAGATGCAGGCCCTGCCCTCACAGAGCACAGAGTGGAATGTATGCAGTCTGTAATTTTTGTTTTTGTGACACTCAAAAGTACCTGATCACTCACTTAACATTGTTCTCTACCATTCTGTTATTCTGAATAAGAAACACTAACGTACCTGTCTCCAAACTAAGATTTGTTCTCTCACACTTTCTGATGGCCCCAGTTTAAAACATGGGCTCACACAGTAAACACTGTAAAGAAAATTGCATTTATATCTTTTATTGTAAATACTTTTTACAGGAATGAGACATAGCAAAGAATAAATCATAGATTTAGATGTAAGGTGCTGCTGTTATTTTCAACCAAGCAAAAAAGCAGTTAATATACAATTATAGAACAGCTCTTTTCTCAAATCCCAAAGGAACTGACTATAAAATAGTTATATCAAACCCAAAATGTGTTTCAGATTACCAGTATAGGAAAGATAAGTTTGTTTCAAATTACCAATTCACTCCTTAACTAATAATGATCTTCTATTCTGTAAACCATGGGTCTGACTCACCAGTGCGTTGCAAAAATCAACTGAGTTACGGTAGAATTTTAACATAATAGAATATAAAAGACAAACTGCACAGCAGATGGTAAAAGTAAGAATTATTTCATGAAATTTTCCGTCTAAATTGGTGTATCAGATGACTTTGAGTCACAGTCAAGAAAACTGGAAAGACTGTTCTCGAGGAACTCTTTAAATGATTTAATGCCCTTTTGATTTAAGAGCAACAATCTTAAAGAACTGAAAATACACTTTGTCCCCAAGAAGGGGTAGCGGAATGAGACTGAGTCTTTGGTCAATCAAAGCTGGGAAATTAAGAAACAAGGAAAGGACTTAAGGAATCATGCTACTCTGAAGCGGGTGGGTATGAGAGAACTCAGCATAGTCTCTACCGTAAGTCCTCAAATTTCTTTTCAAAAATACAATGTTCACAGTTTTCAATGCGACTCAATCCATTTGTTCACTATATCCTCACAATAGCCCTCGAGGAGGGGAATTTCCTCATATTACAGAAAATCAAAGTTAAATAACTTGTACAAGGCCCCAAAATTTCCAGACGACAGCTTCCAATTCTGGATAATTCACAAGGCCTTCTTTCCCTTGCATTAGAATTGCAGACCAGTCTTGGTCAGAATCCCAACTCTGCCACATATTTAGCTTTGGCAAAGTCTCGTGTTGTGGGATAAAAATTATTCAAGACACCCCAAATTAAATGACGCCACCTTGAAAGGGTGCTTCAAAAATAAACCACGAAGCCCTCGCCCCGGAGCTCTCAAGCCTCCATCCTATTCCAGCTCCTGAGGAACCCAGAACTGGGAAGGCTCGCGGGGGCGGGGCAATCGGAATGGTAAACAAAGGTGGCCGGGCTTCCTACATTCCCCAACAAACTCGGAAAGCTAGCCACTGGATCCCCGCCTGGGGGCGTCGCGGATTTGGGCCTGGGCCCCCAGAGGCCCGCTGCAGCCCAGGGCCTGGGCCCCTCCAGGTTTACGGGGCTCCCTATCGCCCTTCCCCAGGACTGCAGATCCGGCGAGGACACTAGACCCCGGAACTCACCCAGCTGGCGAGGGAGAAGATGCCCAGCACAGCGCCCATGGTGACGCTGGTGATGGAAGCGCCGGGATCAGGAAGCTTCAGGCTCGGTGTTAACCGCCCGCTGAGGGCTCTCCTCAGAAACACGATGGTTTCTCAAGCCGGAAACGCGGCCTGCCAATCCTCTAACCCGTTCTGCGTCATTGCGTGGCCCCGCCCATCCCTTTTAGCATGCGCTACCGGGAGGGCATCCCCCATTGGTTGAGAGAGAAGGCGGAGCTAAATCAACGGGGGGGCGGGGGTTCAAGGGGAAGGCGGAGCTAAACCAACCCTGAGAGGAAAGAGAAGGCGGGGCTAAACTAGCCCTAAATTTAGGGGGAGGCGTGGCTAAACTAGACTGCGGTTAGGGGAAAGGCGGGGCTAATCCTGCACCGGCTTGATGGAAGGCGGGGGGTAAAACGAGACTAATCCAGCGCGGGGCCTGAGGGGAAAAGTGGGGCTAAACCAGCCCGGGGTTGGAGAAATAGAAGCCTTCGTCCACCTCATAAATATTCATTAGGTACCTATTATGTGTCAAAATCTGAGGGATACGGAAGTGCGCAAGAGCGATTTGGTATGTATCTAGAATTTATAGTCTAATTAAAGGCACACTGGCAGTTTATGTAAATATACCCTAACATATGTGATGAATACTATGAAGTAGTATGAGGGAGTATTCTTTCAATAAATGTTAATTTAGTGCCGACTATTTAAGGGGAAAGTAATTTAGTTGGGAATAATGCTGGAAAGTTTTTCTGAGGAATTTATATTTCATCTGAGAACTGCAGGATGAGTCAGAGTTAGCCAAGGAGAGATGGGAATTATTTCCTAAAACGTGGATGTGTACTCTTGGGGTAAAAGGAGCCCTGGTGGTGAAACAGTTAAATGCTGCTAACCAAAGGTTGGCGATTTGAACCCACCCACCCACTCCTAGGAGAAAAACCTGGTGAAATTGTGCACTACAGATTAGTAAACACAAGTAAACCCATGAGTGCCTTGCTTGCTGGGCAATCCGTGCCTGGTACATGAACAGAATGTTAAGTAACATTGAAAGGCAGAGTGAAAAAGCCTAGTTCAACCCAAAGAGAAAATTTCAGTTTGAGGCTAGTATGTATTTTACATTTTTCTAACATGTATTTATGTTCCTTTTTAGGAGTGAAGACTTCATTTTGTAAACCTCTTCAACAGGCAACCACATCTTGAGTTTAATAACATTGCTTTGTTTTGAAATTTTGGGGGTTTTTGGCTTTTAGGGGTTTTATTTTTTTATTTTTTGCAGTAATTCTTCCATTTCTAGCATGCAATGCTGGTTTTCTCTTAATCAGTGGTGTAAATTTTTCTTATAAATTCCTACAAAAATTGAGATTAAATTTAAAGAAAAAAATTGAAAAATTATTTACTTAAATACATAATAGTACAGCTGGTACGCAGATATGGCAACAATGATGACAATGTTATACAAATGACTAATGTAAAGAAATATTTACCTGGGGATATAAGGACCTGGAGAGATTTGGAATCTTAGGATATTTAGGCTGGAAGAAGCCTTCGAATTATATTCCAAATCTCTTGTTTTACAGAAATGGAAAAAAAGCCCAAAGTGAAATGGTTTGTCTAAGACCATAGAAATGGTTGGTGACAGAGAAAGGAGAATGATTCAAGCTTCCTAACTCCTACCTCAGCCCTTGCCCCCAACTCCCCACCCCACACACAGCCATAAAACCAAACCTGTTGCTGTCTCATAACAACCGTATAGGACAGCATAGAACTGCCGCTTAGGGTTTCCAAGGAGTAGCTGGTGGATTTGAACTGCTGACCTTTTGGTTTGCAGCAGAACTCTCAACCACTTTACCACCAGGGCCCCAACCTGCCCAAGTCAGATTGCATCAGAACTACTCATCCTTCCATCCTTCCAGATAGCACTTAAAATCTTTACTTCTTCTCGTCTAGGCATTGCTGAACTGAGCTGAAGGAAGCTAGGGCAGTAATAAAGTCCTACAATCAAATTCCACCAGGAACACATATGTAGTAAGAAAGAATTAGGTGTATTTAGCTTATTCAGCAAGAGAATACATACTGGAGACACCATGAGGTATCTCGGTAAAAGGGAGTTGGGAAGAGCTTGTTTTAGGATTTGGGTTTGTGCTGGATAATTCTAGGAGGTCTTAAGGAAGCAGAGAACAGTTTTGGACTATACACTGTCAAGAAGCAGGGACAATTTAGTGACTAGGTATGTTAATAATTTTTTTCCAGGAGGTGGGAGGATTAAAGCAGGGCTAAGATTGTCATTGAAAAAGAAACAGGGTTAGTCAGAAGTGGAGGACGTTGAGTTGTTTCTGTGGCTCCAGAGGGGCCTTGCTTCTGTCTTGTTCTAACCAGAATGGCCTTGCCTGATCTTTGTTTATATCCTGTGAGCACTGTCTATGTTCAATTGGGAACATTGAGTCTAGCTGCCAGCTGACAGTTTTTCATTTTCTCACCTATAAGAAGCATCAGAGTTCTTCCAACATGGGATCCTGCCCATCTTTTAGTGGTTCTAGCCCGAAGTGGTTAAGTGCGTCTCCTCTAGCTGGCAAAGGTGGGGAGGGCAAATCTTTGTGATCATCTATTCCAATTTACTACCTCCTGCTGAAGCCCTTCAGCAACATCTCTTCTAGAATGAGGGCTCACTGCCACCCAAGGCAGCTCCATGCCGATTGTCACAACTGTGTTTTTTTGGGTTTTTTGGGTTTTTTTTTTTTCATATATTGTTTGAAAAGATAACACATGTACTTGGTTACCAAAAAAAAAAAAAAAATTAGTGCATAAATGAGCAAACAGTGAAAATGAAATGTCCTTTCGATCTCACTACCTTCTCCCCTCCATGTCCCAGATCTCCTTCCAGAGTTAATCTGTGCATTTGCTAGCATTATATGTATTATCTGTCACTCCCTTTTTATATGTGGTCACATTCCAACCACATTGGGTTATATATTTCTTTTTTCACTTAACTTATTCATTCATTCAATAAATATTTATCAAGTTCTTACTATGTGCCAGACACTGTTCCCAGTGCTGAAAGTACAGCAGGGAACAAAACAAAGTCCTTGCGGTTAAAAGACAAGCAATAAATAAAATATATATAGTATAATATCAAATACTGACAAGCTGTGAAGAAAAACAAAACATAAGAGGGGAATGCAGAGTTCATGGGAGTCTGCTATTTTAAATAGAGTCATCATGGCAGATCTTTCTGAGGACATGACATTTTAAGCAGAGACATGAAGGAAGTAAGGAAGCAAGGCATACACATACCTGGAGGAAGAGTGGTCCTGTTTTAAAAGAATCACTCTGGCTGCTAGGTAGAGAATAGACTGGGGTAGGGGTGGGGGAGTGATGAGGGTAAGAGTTGTTAAAACAAAAATCATATTAAGCCAATAATAGAAATTGATTGATGTTTATTTAATATACGACTTGCAAATCCGAGTAACATTTCGACTTTGTTGTTGTTAGGTGCCGTCAAGTTGGTTCCGACTTATAGTGACTGTGATCATTAAGATTGTGTGACAGCTTGGCTGGGCCATGATTCTCAGTGTTCATATGTCATCACTCCCATGATTGAATCTGCTGTGAGTAGCCAATCAGTTGAAAGGGAGTTTTCTTGGGGGTGTGGCCTGCATCCGAATATAAGTAGACGCTCCAGCTTTTCGCTCACTCTGGATCCTGCGGCTGCCTCCTGTTCATCTGACCTCCAGTTCTCGGGACTTGAGCTATCAGCTTATCTGCCAATCTTGGGATTCGTCAATCTTCACAGCCTGTGAGGGGAGCCCTGCTGCTCTCTGACCTGCCAGTCTTGGGTTCACCAGGTGCTGCAGCTACATGAATCAGGAGAAGCCACTATCCTCATCCACGGACTTGGGACGTTCCATCCTCTACAATCATGTGAGCTGTTTCTTTGATATAAATCTCTCTCTATATATATTTATATGCTGGTCATGGACTGAATTGTGTCTCCCAAAAAAGTCTGTCAACTTGGCTGGGTCATGATTCCTAGTGTTGTATGATTGTCTACCATTTTATCATCTAATGTGATTTCCCTATGTGTTGTAAACTCTATCACTATAATGTAATAAGATGGATTGGTGGCAGTTATATTGCTGAGATCTACAAGATTAGATAGTGTCTTAAGCCAGTCTCTCTTGAGATATAAAAGAGAGAAGCAAGCAGAGAGACATGGGAACCTCATACCACCAAGAAGGCAGTGCCAGGAGCAGAGCGCATCCTTTGGACCTGAGGTTCCTGTGCAGAGGAGCTCCCAGACCAAGGAAGATTGATGACAAGGACCTTCCTTCCTGGAGCTGACACCGTGAATTTGGACTTGTAGCCTACCGGACTGTGGGAGAATAAACTTCTCTTTGTTAAAACCATCCACTTGTGGTATTTCTGTTGTAGCAGCACTAGATGACTAAGACAACGCTTTCCTGGTTTTGCTTCTCTAAAGAACCCATCCTAAGACAGTGACCCTATGTACAACAGAATGAAACACTGCCTGGTTCTGCACCATCCTCACGATCGTTGTTATGCTTTAGCCCGTGTTGCAGCCACTGCGTCAATCCACATTGTTGGGGGTCTTCCTCTTTCTCAGTGACCCTCTGCTTTACCAAGCATGATGTTCTTCTCCAGGGACTCATCCTTCCTGATAACATGTCCAAAGTATGTGAGACATAATCTCGCCATCCTTGCTTCTAAGGAGCTATCTGGTTGTACTTCTTCCAAGACAGATTCGTTCATTCTTTTGGCAGTCCATGGTATATTCAATATTCTGTGCCAACATCACAGTTCAAAGTCATCAATTCTTCTTCAGTCTTCCTTGGTCATCATCCAGCTTTTGCATGCATGTGAGGCAATTGAAAACACCATGGCTTGGGTCAGAAGCACTTTAGTCTTCAAGGTGACATATTTGCTTTTCAACACTTTAAAGAGGTC